AGCACCAGCAACTTGGACAGGAGGACGTTCAGCTTCTGCACCGTCGGGTGCGTGCTCGCAAACTGTTGTCTCTTGGAAACGGATTCCAAGAAAGACTGCTGACGGAATCCGTGAAGAGGAGTAGCAGGAGAAGGAGCATCTGAACGAGCGGAAGATGCCAACGAGCGACAACTCCCCTCAGCAGAGGTGTTGGAGCCTTGACTGGCTGATAGAGGGCGATTGACGTCGTCGGGTGACGGAGCAAGTAACGGAGCGGGTGATGGAGCGGGGGCTGGGGCAGGCAGAACCGCCGTATCTTTATCACGGTTTTTCCCAGGCCACCGAATGGCGACGCTGCATATGCTGACGCAACGCTGTAGTCCCAACATTGGCCCCCTGGCCACGCTTGACTTTCTGGCCACATAGTCGACATACGGCTACGTTTACTTCCTCGGGCGGCTTGACGAAAAATTGCCACACCGCCGAGTAGGAAACTTTGCCCCCGCTACTCCTCACACTGGCTGACTGCTACTTCCTCCGTGCACACCGGCACCACTACTGGCCGTGGTGGTAGGCTGCAGTGGAGCTGGTGCTCTACTCCGTGGCCGTTTGCCTCCACTGACACTGCTGCGACCCTGCTGCCTCCTGGGCAACCCACCGACTGTTTTGCTCGCTGCCAAGCTGGCACCCTCTTTTCCTGATGATGCGGAAGCAATAGCCTGATGACGACGAGGCTGCCAAGTGCGATCAGCCTCATCATCATCAATTAGGGTCTCCGCCTCACTACTAGCCCCCTCGGCTGCGTGTGGGTCAGGAGACAGACCTGTCTCTAGACCGGCTACCGAGCCACTCTCCTCGCCAGTACTTCTTTGCCTGGCTGCTGAAGAGGCGGATGTCTCCCCCCCGTTCCTGACTGCCCTCTGTTTGCTCTTCCTCACTGTACAGTGGGGCTGAGCCCACAGCATGCGATACTTCGCTTGGTGAGGGAACACCAAAGGACAGGGGCAGGTAGAGGACACGTGATTTCAGTGGGCTTGCTCCCGGGCCATGCCAACTAACGGTTGTGTCTGACGTACCCACCGACCGTTGGCTGTAGGTGTCAGAGGTGACCTGGGAAGAGGAAGACGACCGAGCCAACCAATCGATGACGGCAGGGTTGTCGGTGGAGACACGACGCTGGATGACACCGGGAGCACTGGCCTCTGGCTGCGACTAGTGCTGCCTCGACCCCTTCCTCTGCTGCCACGTCTGCTCGCTCCTGAAACATTGCCTCCTCTGCCACTCCTCTGCGTGTTGTCTGACATACTCTTTAATTCAACGATTCTGTGTCCCTGAGTAACGATTCTGTGTCCCTCAGTAACGATTCTGTGTCCCTCAGTAACGATTCTGTGTCCCTCAGTAACGATTCAGTGTCCCTCAGTAACGATTCAGTGTCCCTCAGTAACGATTCAGTGTCCCTCAGTAACAATTCTGTGTCCCTGAGTAACAATTCTGTGTCCCTGAGTAACGATTCTGTGTCCCTCAGTAACAATTCTGTGTCCCTGAGTAACAATTCTGTGCCCCTGAGTAACGATTCTGTGTCCCTCAGTAACGATTCAGTGTCCCTGAGTAACGATTCTGTGTCCCTGAGTAACAATTCTGTGTCTGTCCCTGAGTAACAATTCTGTGTTTCTGAGTAACAATTCTGTGTTTCTGAGTAACAATTCTGTGTCCCTCAGTAACGATTCTGTGTCCCTCAGTAACGATTCTGTGTCCCTCAGTAACGATTCTGTGTCCCTGAGTAACAATTCTGTGTCCCTCAGTAACAATTCTGTGCCCCTGAGTAACGATTCTGTGTCCCTGAGTAACGATTCTGTGTCCCTGAGTAACGCTTCTGTGTCCCTGAGTAACGCTTCTGTGTCCCTGAGTAACGATTCTGTGTCCCTGAGTAACAATTCTGTGTCCCTGAGTAACAATTCTGTGTCCCTGAGTAACAATTCTGTGTCCCTGAGTAACGATTCTGTGTCTGTCCCTGAGTAACAATTCTGTGTCCCTGAGTAACAATTCTGTGTCCCTGAGTAACAATTCTGTGTCCCTGAGTAACGATTCTGTGTCCCTCAGTAACAATTCTGTTTCCCTGAGTAACAATTCTGTTTCCCTGAGTAACAATTCTGTGTCCCTGAGTAACAATTCTGTGTCCCTGAGTAACATTTCTGTGTCCCTGAGTAACGATTCTGTGTCCCTGAGTAACGATTCTGTGTCCCTCAGTAACAATTCTGTGTCCCTGAGTAACGATTCTGTGTCTGTCCCTGAGTAACGATTCTGTGTCCCTGAGTAACAATTCTGTGTCCCTGAGTAACAATTCTGTGTCCCTGAGTAACGATTCTGTGTCCCTAAGTAACGATTCTGTGTCCCTAAGTAACGATTCTGTGGGCCCTAAAGTCTCTGTGGCCCTAACTCTGTCCCTAATACACAGAGGTCTGTCTCTCTTGAATGACCGGAGGCTAATGGAGAATTCTAAGATGGCCACGATTTATAGCTCCACCATTACACAGTGCTGGCTGGCTGGCTGCTGATTGGCTAATGCGATCACATGTCATGAATGAATGCATTATGGGTCAGCGCGCCTTGTCTGCGCGCCTTCCCAGAGATCCCCGCTCCGTCGCCACACATGTCGCCGCCATTTTTGGGAAAATTCGATTCGTGCATCCGAAGTTTGCTAATTTTCGGATTCGGCGCGAATCGAATATTTCCTAATCTTCAAAACGAATTCCACTTCGTCATGTTCGATTCGCTCATCTCTAGTAATGAGCCTGAACACGGTTATAACCCTTCCACGCGATTGGTTTTAGATACAATTTGAACAAATATATATACTAAACATTGTGAATATTGTCAGAAATGAACTTGAGTGGCTTCAACGGTAAAAAAGTAAATTACATATGCTTATGATTTTAATTATATTTTTAAATTTACAAAAGGGCCAGTATACTGTCCTTAAGACTTTAGGGATACCAGATTGTGGCCAGTGGGGTTAGAAAATCCCGGGTCCAGCATCAGTACGATGGTCAGTAGGAGGAGGAGTAGTGCCCCATCATTGGTATTAGTGGAGGAATAGTACACAATCATTGGTACTAATGGAAGAAGAAATGCCCCATTGTTGGTGTCAGTGGGAGGAATAATGTCTCATATCATTTGGAGGAATAGTGCCCCAAGGGCTGGATAAAGGCTAGCAAAGGGCCACATCTGGCCCTCTGGCTGTAGTTTGGAGACCCCTGGTATAGAGCATTAATTCATAAAATTAAGGATGATGTAAATACAATGATTTGAAAAATTAAACTTGGATACAAGCTCTGCACCTCTTAATAGGGTTGAGAACAGATAACACGTTTTGCTACTTCTGTGTTGTAAAGCAAGCAGTCTATAACCGTTACTTTATTTTACTTCAGCCATCTTTTCTCAAGTGACTGGATATTCTTCCTCATCTTGGTGTGCAATATAGGCTCCTTTGGAAAAATTCTAATGGCTTTTCCTCCACACAAAAAGAAAACAATCCTTTATTGACTACCTCAAACATTCTTACAAAAATGATATACTTGTTACACAACTCTTGGTCTCCTAGTCCTTTTCACAAAAAAAAAAAATCAGTATTTTTCAAAGTTTCCACGTCAACTAAGAATCTTGCACGCTTCAGGTAGATTTTGTTTGTCAAATAATTTCATGTTCAAGCAATCTGCATTAGTAGTTTCTCCCTTTTAGAAGCAGCTTTCACTGCTTTTACAGCTCTGCCTCAAAATACTGTATATCCAATTGCATACCCATTTCTTGTGTGAGCTGGAGATTTTAATATTGTCTTTGATCTAACTCTTTAAAAATGTAATAATACACCTATAAATGAATATAAATGAAAGGCTGTGCTTACTTTTTCCCATGAGTATTGCTTTTATTCATGAACAGGTGCTTTCATACCTAACACCTCTTCCCTAACACCTCTCTGTTCAAGCTACAGTATGTTCTTAAAGCTTGGTCAGATGTAAACATTGTCCCAGCAGCTTTTAATTCTGATATTTTCTATTAGCCCTTTAAATGTCATCTGAATGAGGTCTTGTTGACCAAGCCTAAAATAATTACTATCTTAAAACTGTATTTCCAAAAACAATTGTCCAAATAATCTTTCTCTATACACTACTTGACCTGCTCATAAAACCTATATGCAAAAAGTAATTATCCAGCAAGCTTCCCAACACACAAAAGAAACACACGGAAGCTCAGTCCAAATTTCCAATATTTCTTGGTTGAGGTGATTGTAGCCGTATTAGTGCATTTGCGACAGAAACAATTGAGTATTTCTTGGAGAAGATTACAAACTACTGTCCAATACCAATGTCTCTTGCTATCCTGAATATGATTATTTCTGATGAAGTTCAACCCTATATAAAACAACTTAAGAAACAAGTTAAAAAGATAAAACACTGTAAAATACCTTCTCTGCTGCCAATGCCGTTGAAAGACACTCCATTGCTGAGATATGGTCCCCAAAAGTTTGTTTGAAAACCAACACTTCTGGAAGTGCCAGTCTCACACAGCTTTCAGTAGTTTGTCCTGCCAACCTCCATGTCAATTCAGCACATATTGGTATTGTAAACAGAAGGAACCAAAGAGAGCTGGGGGGACCCAGGAGATTGACATTTTTAGAAATGTTGGCTGACTTTGGTTTGTACTTTTCTTTGCAAAATTATTTTTAAAGTTAGTAGCTGGAATTTCTTGCTCTGAACAATATTTGTGACAAGGCTGTTCAATTACCCCTATTTGTTTCTTTTTTTCTCTTAGCATTGCTACAAAAATCACTTGTAATTTGATATTTAGTTACCTAAAAATTATAATCATGTAGAAGCAAAATTTCACTAGTCAGATGAAGAGAAATCTTCTAATTACTATACCCCCCATGAGCATAAATGTGGAAAATACCGACATAACAAATATCTCCTAAAACATAACATATGCAAATTTATTAGTAATATAAATTATTCTAATGATTTTACCAAAGGCAGAAGACTCGTTGAGTGTTTTTTTTTCTGCAGGGGCACTTCTGTTCTGCACAGGATCCCTTAGTCTGTCTGTTGGCTCCTCTTGCCAGTCCCTCTCTTCCTTCAGTTGTCTCCAGATGACTGATGGCATATAAACTCTTGATTGCGCTTCAACGGATACAGACTTAAAGCCCTCATCTGTTTCTTCATGAGCCTCTTGAGCTAGGACATGAACATATGAGAACAATATAAAGAGATACACCCCACCTAGAGCTTATGTAATGCATTTGAAACACTTTTGTACTTTAGTCAACAGATGCTCAGAATGTGCAGACAGTTCTTGGATATTCTTGTACTCTACTACAGTATAGCTACGCAATAAAGCCTGGTACAGGACCTAGCACAGCCTGTGAATGGCCAATAAATAAGCAGCAACACACTTATGAGATCACCTTAGTGTTTTCCCCTCTGCCTGCAAGTTTATAATATCAAAATTCAAAAGTAATGTACTGCTTGTTATGTGCAATCTTGTATCTTCCACCATAGTGTCAATCTTTTTCTGCAGAAGTGTGTCTGAAACACAGCAAGGGCCCTTTCACTGATCAGTTTTTCAGTTTAAAAAAGTAGAAGAAAAATGCATGAAAAATTAATCACTATAAATCCTATGGAGCTCTTCGCACTGGTCTGTTGCATTTCAGCTGCATTTATAAAAGTCCTGCTTGCTGCATTTTTAGTGTACGTTTGATGTAAAAAAACCTCCTCTTCATTGAAATGAATGGAAATATTTCTGAAAACACAATGCACCCGTGGGAAGTACTTTGTCCAGTCCCATGTCCCCGAGAAAAACACAATGCAAACACCACAAAATCGCATCAAAAACACAGTGCTTGACAGCAAAAATGCAGCAAAAACACATATGCGGTTTTGCCGCATTTGCAACAGAGCAGTGTCAGAGCAGCCTAATACAGCACTACCACCCAGTAGCTGACAATGCACTCATGAGATACTCTGAATTAACAATAAGTAAGGGTCAAATCTGGCTTGTTAGTACAGAATCTGGATCTTCCACTGCTCCGCTACATTCTGTACTGACTACAGCTAATGCAGGCCATAGACGGTTCGTTTATCGGCCAATTTTTTGTCCGAAAAATGAAACTTTGTTCTGTAAAACCAATGTTGCCACCAATGATTGGGAAAATTGGCCATTTTTCATGAATTTTCCAGCATGACCAATAAACGAAATGAGGAGGAACCACGAAAATCGGCTGATGCCATTGCCCCACTAACAGTGCGAAAATCGACCGATTATTCTTTTGGACGAAAAATCAGCCGATAAACGATCCGTCTATGGCCTGCATAAGGGTGCACCTTTCATTCCTTTCGTACTCCTGATCCAGAATTTAGACAGATCTCCTTTCTCTTGTGCTCACCCCTAGCACTAGTTTGACTTTTGGACATATGTATTTGCCCTGCAGTGCACTCCTTGAGCTGAGTAAATCTTTTAATACATCTAGCTCATTGTATGCTTTATGTTTATTCTAACTCATCACCATCAGCTGTGAGCTAGAATAAACATAATGCACTGTATATTTTAGCATTGTAATAACCCTTTCATGACCAGAGGTCATTGATGCCTAGATGCCCAGGCCAAATTTAGCACTGACAGCAAGTGTTGGTTGACTTAACAACTCTGACTAATTTGACATCTAATTCATATACAAAATTTTAAGGACATAGCATGTAATTATTTGGTACGCTGTGCTAATTAAAAAAACACTGTGCTTTTTTAGTTTTAAGTAGACAAGTGTACAAAAGTGTAAAACATGTTTTTTAGGATTTTTTATTTATTAGTATATTTTTAATAGTGCAAGTGTATCTTAATGTTGATCTTTTAAATACATGGCACTAAAAAAAAAAAAACTAGCATTGTTTGCAGGCTGAAGGCTTTCCTTTTTATTAGTTGAGTCTTCAGCCTTCATGTGGTCAGAGAATGTGTATCTACCATGGGGTATCATGTTGGGGAATGTTAGATTGTGGCCAGGAAGGGACATTACGATAGTATTAGAGACAGTAGAACAATACTCTGAAATATGACGGTATTCAGCAATAATTGTTTATTTCTAAAATAAAGTTTTTTGCAAATGAAAAGTATATAGAAAAACAGTATTTATACTGTAAATATGTGCATCTCTAGGCAAAACCTTTTTGGTTTTGGATGGCATATTGGGGAAGGATTAGAACTTAAGTCATGTTTTTATTGTTGATTTTGTCCTTTTTTGGGAAATTCTCCACTCTGTTTGTCCTGGTGAGACTATTGTCACTAAAACTCATGGGAGCAAATCCAACATTTTAGAGTTGTCCCCAGAACAAAGGTTGGGGGAAATTTTCCAAAAAGGACAAATGTTCTGTTCATGTTATGGAGTCAATGGACTATAGAATTACAATTCCCAATGTGAGCTGGGCATAAACAGAGGAAGGTGTACTTTCACAGGCTGAATACAGAGGGGCTTCCTCTCTGCTGCAAGGAGACCAAGGAGTGCACATCGCATAGTAAGAGGTACCCCTTTAGAAAGCATTAAATTTAATTGCTGCCATTCATATTGAGTACACTCTTAAGTGAATATAGCCTACTAATTACAGAGAAGTTATGGCAATATTGATTATCGTTGATGTTACTGTTTTCTAATGCTATTACTCATTGTTGATTTTGTGAATTACCAGGTTTACTCTAATTTAGCTGCATAGAACGCCATTCTGTGCTGCTATAGCCTAGTGAACATATTGATAGTGAACTGTGATTGACCTAATTCTTTACTTACTCATTTATGTGTATACAGGTATTTATATCAACTCATGATACTATATTGGGTTAATTTATCACCAGGACGTCTGATGTTTGCTTTTTTGATACTAAACCTTAGTTGTGTGCATTTTAGCTATATTTGTGCTCCCAGTAGCAGTGCAGTATTCATTTTATTAACCTGGTGTGTCAGTGGGGCTGAGGTTGTTCTCAGAGTCGAAGCAGAAGAACAAAGAACCCAATCTACCAAGTGGCTCCTGCAGAGGTAGCGCTGTACCTGTAATGTCCTGTTGCGTCATTGGGACAGGAAGTGAAGGGTACACAAACAGCAAAAAATAAACTGGCAGGGGTTTTACCCTTATCTACTCTATCTAAAACTGAAATAATGTTTTGGCTATGTATGAAATTTAAAAAAACAGTTGAGCAATATAAATAGATTCCCTTTAGTGTAATTGCCGTTTTTTACCTTTGCCCCTTTGTACTCAATTCTTTTCTTTCAGTGCTCAGAAGCTGCTCAGCTGCCGGTTAATTACCAACTACTCGTCTAAACAGTGACTTACCTGTTTACCATTACCTGCCTCATCAGTTCAGCCTACGGCCAGCCCTTTTTGCTATTTTAGCAGTTTAGCTCATTTCCTCCTTGCCCTTGCGCGGCATATGATCTCCAGTGTGTTCCTGTGTACAACTCAGTCTGGCTGACTTCTCTTCCGATTCCTGTTCCTGATTTTTGGCTCCTGAGTACGCTGACTTCTGGTTTCCTGACTCTGGCTCATCTGATTACCCACACTGACATCCAAAACTGGCTTCTGTTTTGACTACATTCCTGATCTATGTTATATTTGCTATTTCATTAAAGATGTGATTTTAATTGCACTTTCTGTCTCTGCCTGGTTCATGGTTCCTGACAACACCACAATCCTTATTTAACCGCTTCCCATTCGGCCACTGCACATAAATGGCCGGGCAGGACAAGTGCCGTTCTGAGTAGACATACCGGTATGTCCCTCAGAACTGTGCCTCCTGCATATCCCCCGGGGACGAGCATCGGTACGATCACATGACCGTTGTATCCACCGGACACAGCAGATCACCATTCTCAGTACCGAGTGGCGGGACCCTGCCTTGCTATCATGTGATCGCTGTGATTAATCACAGTGATCACATGTTCAGTAGTAAAGATGGCTGCCATTGATGCGGCCATTCAGAACTACTGTGAGCTCTGTGATTGGTCAAAGAGATCACATGATACAGGGCCAGGCACCGCCCCCCTGTACCATGTGACAGCCGTAGCCAATCACAGCTAGTCACAGTGTTCTCAATGGCTGCAGCAATGTAACTGAAAACTGTAAAAAATTATTGTATAAGTAATCATTATGCAAAAAAATACCAATCTCTTCCCTAGAGTAGTGCAGTGTTACTAAGGTTGTTTTAGTGAGTCCACGGAAGACGGGAACTTTTTTTCAGGGCTTGGTAGTCCACTTTCATTTAAAAGAAAGTAAAACTTCACAAAACCTCACCAGGTTCATACGCTCACTCAGTTTCAATTGCAGTATCACGCTGCTCCTCTTACCAGTGTCTCTGACTGTGTTGTCTCCTAGATGCTTGGCTTTCTAACCTTTAGTCACAGCACCCTGCTACACAGCCCACCTCTGGTTCCAATAGGAGCTGACCTCACTCCTGGAACTGAGACCTCTGTCTCTTGGCTTCTTGCTGGGTCCTCTAAGCCCTCAGTGAGACCTTCCATCTCCCCTACTGGGAGCTGCCTCCAACTGAGAGCTCTGAGCTATCCTCAGACCTGAGTATTTAATGACCCTTCACACTTGTATAGTTAACCAGGTTGCAGGTGCCTAGCAAAACCTGGACACAGGATTGAATGTTCTGATCCAAATACACAGCTTTTTGCTCAGAAACACTAGTCTGCAAAGTCATATTGACCTTGAATGCGAATCCTGTGTGACATTTTCCTATATTTTCAAAGTGACAGAGCCTCACCCTGTTGCCAAAAAAAAAAAAAAAAAAAAAACACACACACACATATATATATATTCGATTGGACCCTTCAGTCACCTCTATGGCACAGCAGGTGTAAATGGACATCATGGCCCTGATTCACTATTGGGCGTGGGCGCATATTTATGGGCTTAAGCCCAATTTTCATGGGCATCCGTCTATTTTTTACCCTGCAACCTAATTCACTATTGAGCAGAGCCCATAAGCAGACGCCCAATCTAATTCACAAAAAGACACACGCCCGGAATCAGACTCACAAAAGCAGACTTGCTAAGAAGCACGTCTAACACCATGAAAAATCACTGCAGAGACATGTTCACTTAGAAATTTGCTTTGCCAAATATCAGGACTTCACTTTAAAAAATATCTGCTATTTCCAAAAAAATTAAGAATGTGTTAAAAATCGTTTTTTTT